ACGTGTTTATGTATTTAGCCTGCCAGATAGTAATGTGCATAAAGGCATTTTAGACGATTCAATGCCATTTGCTTGCCTTAGTAAAACTCTCAAAAAAATCTACGAGAAATCTTTGCGCATATTATGCCAAGCTCACAGGCCTAAACCTGTCACGATCGCGTCCAAGTTCCTCCGTGAAGCATTATGCTACGCGCTTCGCTCTTCACGTTAGCAATGTCTGTAGTATTACTGTTAAAAAAAAAAAATTCTAGTTTTTTTTCAGTTACATTTTAAGATTGGATGTTTGTATTCCCTACTCATAGTTCATAGCATTTTTCGTGAGAAATGTTAAAACCGGATAACCACCACGCCACTTATATCTCCGTCCTACGGACATTTAGACAGTATTTAACAAGATACTGTTCGGGCGAGCGGCAAGGGAGCTCCCGATTTCATTTCTGAGTCTTCCACCTGAACTGCACTGCTTGACCTTTTTTTTTGCCACGTTGTCAAGGTTTGAGTAGTTTTCGCAGTCGCATCTCAACCTCGCGCGCTAACGTGTGAAGGAGACGTCAAAAGAAGCCCTGCGCTCATAAAACTACATCTAACAAAGTCAGATCACAATGAAAACTACGCCAGCCTTCATAACACGGTGCATAATTTAATGCCGAGTATATGCAAATGCAGCTTGAAATGCAAGCATGGTAAAAGTATAAAACGCGTTGGGGCGGTCTGCAGCCGATTGGGGCATGTGAGCGCTATTAAAGAATACCGTACATGTCTAAGCAACCGTCTGATAGAAACGAATACAAAGAGCACCCAGGTTATTATATCTATGCTAAACAATAATGATATATGTGAGCACACCTGTAAAGTTACACTTCCCCAAATGTTGGTAAGCTAGAAACTTGGCATTGGACTATACTTGGTTTCAGCTTAGGTCTGAGCGTGGCTGTTGTTATGAGCCAAAGGTCCAATCAAAGAGCGCAAAAAGCGCAACGTCATGGCATTCTCCACTCTTGATGGAACGAGCCGGCGGAGGAGCATACACTGAAAGACGACGAACGCCGCTGGTCCTATAAACTGCAGAAAGCACGCCATGGCCGTGTGCCTTTCTCGCCGTTAGATTGACTCCTCGGCCCATAACATCGGCCACGCTCGGACCTAAGGTGAAACTAAGTATAATAGTAGTGCAGTTGCTAAGGAATTAGAAAAATCACTAGAGTTGCCAATTATCAAATAAATGTACCTATATACTCGTGTGAACAAACTAAACCCTGAAACTAACTCTGCCCGAAAAACGCAGTTACCCGGGAATCATCTCTCTTCTGTTACACCCTTGGCAATTAAAGGCCTTGAAACCCTAAGCAAAAGGAAGGAATAGAGTTAATCCAAAACTCGTAGCACATCATTGCGGCGTAATGCCACGTTATGCATTCTGGGAATCAGTGGAAGCAAACTTCATACGCGCCCCGCTCCTGTCCCACAGGTTCAATAATGCAACAATCGAGGTGATGGATTTAGGGAAATAGTCTATTGCGAATAACACAAGCAAACAACGGGAAGCAGTTTCTGACGCTTAATATTTTCTTTCACGCCAATTGTTCCTTTGTGCTTTTTTAATGAATATAAACCGAGTTTAATGGAGAAAACGGTCCGTCACACCAGTTGTTTTGCTCCATGTTGAAGTACGAAATACTCAAGTCGCTCAAATTGCGAGCTAAAATATACTTTTTTTGTGTGTGAGGCTTGCCAAAAAGCTTCAGGCGCTGGAGAAAATCATTTGTCTGCGTTAAGTCCATATTTCCACCTCTTTCTGTTCACGCACATGAACGCACAACGAAAAGATCAAGGGCGCACCTGATATGGCCTCGCCGCCGTCCTCTTCAAGACGAACAAACGTCCGTCAGCAATGGTCAGCGTCGCATGGCAACGCAGCGTCTTCCCTATGCACAAACCCGCAAACGCGGGCATCTGAAGCCAGCAACGGCGGAAGCCATCTTCTTAATGCCGTCTCATAAAGTTAACGCGGCATCGCCAGCCAAGTTCGAGCACGTCGTATCGGAGTTCGACGCTGAAAGCAGGAAGCGGTCGACTGGCGATCCCTTGGCGGTTCGGGCTTCAGATTAGGGAGTTTAAGTAGATCGTTTTCAGAAGCCCGCTGCCGCTACGGTTGCGCGCCTCAGAGCGCGTATTGAAGTGGCCAGCGCGGGCTCCCGCAACAAATATCGTGCCTTGAAAACACGATCTACGAACACTTTCTATTATAATTAATTTTCTCCGAGCGGGGTGGAGCGAAGCGAGAAGTGGTCGTGCCTAGCGTTGGCTTTCTCGAATCCTTGATTGGATTCCAAGCTAGAGTTACCGCGTTGCTAGCAGATGGAATATGTAAGGTGGCGCAGCTGCAGCTCGCTTCGAACGCTGTGCTCGCATGCGCATACATTGACGTACGGAGACTTTAGCAGACGGACTTTATCCTGCAAAAAAAAAGCGGTGGTTTGGCGAGACCAGGTCAGTGCTTGGGCTCTTTCGGCGTGCCTTCAATGGGCGGAACGTTAAAAAAATCTTTATCCACTTTCTATAAAATTGTTACAAAAAATAGTGTATAGAGGCTATAGATACTCCAAAAAAAAATTCATATACTTTCCTATCCACTATCTTTAGCATTTTGGCCGCTTTTTTGCAGACCTTCTGTAAAACTTAGTGTGTAGAGTTAGATTATAAATTGTATAAAAACAGAGAGAGATTGTCGCACCGTTTCTATCCCCTTTCTAAAAGCAAGTGCGTTTTTTGCACAAATAAATTAAGGTCTAGATATTAGTTTTAGGTTTGTCATCATACATTCATGGAAACATACAGTCGTCACTTGCCTTGTTCACATACACCGACATCAAAAATACGCACGCTGCGGAGCACTCACAACACTAGTTATTTAATAGTGGTGACTGCTCCACCGCTATATGTACCCTACACTTGAAAGGTAATCACGTGAACGAGGACCACCCCAGAAAATAAAAGTATTAAAAGTATGCTGTTTTTTTTTCACCCATAATTTATACTTAATATACTTTATAACGGCTGGTATAAAGCATAGCAAGAGGCGATAATTATGTGACACAGTTGAAAAAAGCAGCCCCTGCAAAGAGGCTCCAACTGGGTGTGGTGTCGCTTCTCCGTACTGCATCTTATTATTCTATCGATTCTAGTCTATATAAATACTATAAAATTATGGTGACAGAAAGTCTACTGATATGTGTTGAAAAATTTTATAGCGTTTTCATCGTCTGTATTATTGGGCATTGTCGATATGACGTGAGTGGATTGTAAGTTGGAAGAGGTCGTTAAATGGGGAGATTTTTACAGACTGCCTGAAATATTTCTGTAATCTTAACAAGAAGTGTTCGAAAAAAGGGCTTAACGTAGATGGCTGATTTCCTCCAGCACCTAATATCTTCACGAAGCTTGCATGAAAAGCATATCTTTTTGCCTATTCAACGGCTGTTTTTTTTTTTTTTTTTTTTTTCAACAATACTTAGACTTTTCCTAATACTTAGACTTTTTTTTATCATCCTCTTACCATCAGTGGTGTTCTTTTCCAGACCAGCCCCAGAAATAGTCTTGTTCGATGCCTGTTTCAACGGCTTGGCCATGTAATCGTTTTCCTTGGAACTGTTTGCAACCTTTGGAGCGGCATTCGGTACACTGCCCATTTCGATCATGACCATTCCACGCCCTCCTTCGACGAAAGCGGGACGTTTGTTCATGGCCGTTTTGTTGATGCCTGTCTCCGCTTTTTTTGGGTGGTGAATGGGCAGGATCAGGGGCATCAACTCAATGTCGATGGCCACGTCCATTCTGGCAGGTTCCTTGGAAGATCCGTTGTCCCTCCCGGTGTCGTTAGCCGCCCACTCTTCCGCGCCCACCAGGGCCGATGGTACCAAGTTAATCATGCGCTCCATTGACTTGCGCATCATGTTCATCATGTCCAGGACGATCGGTGGTTCTGCGCGCGCAATGTGACAAACACTGTTTTACTTCACGATCAACTGAAGGGATAAACATACTATGCAATTTATAAATGCGTTCGAAAGCTATGGTACAAATTTAGTCGTTCTTTCTGAGGAAGACGTCCGCCTTTACACGGTCAGAAATGTGTTGAGGGCCGATGCATGCTTTACACCAGCTTCACAGTCAAGGTCATCGGTGACCTTACCGTGACACGTGTGCCTTCGGCAGCACACACGTTTTGCACCGTATAATTTTTCTCTCCGCGAGGACAAGTAGGAATGACCAGGAGCAGGATGTGATGACGTCACATTCATGTCATGTATAGCTGCTATAAACAGTGGAAGCGAAATCTACGAAATCTTAAGTGGCGTATGAGGCGACGTTTAGATAAACGACTAAGGTTTTTAGGGCCCTCAAGAAATTAAGTCTGGCAGAACATCGGCTGCCACTCTGAAGCTTCGACTTCTTTCAAGATCTTCCGTCTAGCTTCGACCACCTCCATGTTTTGGAATAAAAGCAATGTTATTTATTCCCAAAAGCCACCTGTGCTGACGCCTTGAAGAAAACTGCTTATATTTCCTATGTCGGTTCCTTGACTGCATGTTTTTATGATGGTAAAAAAAGAGAGGAATATCTAAACGCCCACTTGCTGAAGCGTAGAATAATTTATTTTTTATCCGAGGATGTCGAAGATTTGACTCCTCCGTGGCCTTTTTAAGTTTATTTTTTGTTTGTTTTTACGGTCCAAATTTTTTTTTTTTTTTTGGGGGGCTATTTCTAAGCGTCATAAATAATTGCAACCATTTTGCTACGAAATAGTACTGTACAAGCCGCTTATCATAACTGTATTTCTGGCTCTCTTTTTCGTACTGGCAGTATTGTTTTAGCAGCCGGTTTGATTACTCTTTTCGCGCTTGTTGTATTGCACTTTTCTAACTACACCATACGGCAATACATTTTTGTATTTACTGCATATATTGTAATGAACTCATGTGATGTCCATACAAAAGAGTTCATATTGTTATGAACTCTTTCGCTCGCATTATGTTTTGATACTTCCAAACTAGGTGACAAAAAAAGCAAAATGGAAATATTCACAAAAAATGAAAGATGGCAGAATACCATGGTTGTCGTCTACATTTGGAAATACTCTTTAGGTTTCACCAGCCTTCTTTTCTTTTTTATATATGCTATGGGTTTTTTACATTGTACAAGACAAACTAATTAACAAGAAATGAATATAGTGCGGTGATACACTTTTGCAATTTGACCAGACATAATACCAACACAAGTTCTAGTATTTATCAAACTTCTTGTTAAACTAAAAAAAAAATCTTTTGATTATTCCCATGTTCTCCTTTATATGGTCGGTGTAAAACAACTCACTTGCATTTTTCTTTTTGCTTTACAGGAGCTTCTTGGAACTAATGCGATCCAAGTATACGCGTATGCAATGCCAGTTACTACGAAACTTCTTTGTTGCGGTGTAAATTCAAAAACAAAGGAGACCGTTCTTTTTTTTTTTATCTATTCTTTGCAAACTTTGATGATGGGCTCAGAGGTCGTAATGTTGGCATGTGAGAATATTTAGATAAGGCCCATAATTTGGACTGGAGCGTTGCGTCAGGGCTCGATTTGGGCTCGTGATAATCAACAGCTCGACAAGCATTCAGGCGGTGGCCAACCGCTGCGATGGCGACAGTAGCCAAACCTTAACGATGCCTGGAACTCAGCGCGCGTCCTGTGTTTTGCTGACACTCGTGTGTGGCTGTGATAAACATTGGCGGCGTATAATTGGCTCCAGATTACGCGGCCACTTATTTTGACTGATGGTTGAGGCAGTGAGCGCTGCTCATTTCAGGATAAAACAGCGCAACGGGAAATATTGGAACTAAAGACGGGACAGTACACAGCGCTGTGCAAAGCAATGGACAGGGTTGAAGACGAGACAGTACAGCGGTGTGCACTGCCTCGTCTTTAGTTCGCCCGTGTCCCGTTGCACCGTTTTACCTCGAACTGTTCATCAACCCCCCCCCCCCCCCCCTCCCCCCGCTTACCCCCAAAAAACCTTATAACAACTAGACTATGCTTGATCTTCTCAATTTGTTTTTTGAGACTGCCATTGCCTGGTAAGAAAAAATTCGACCAAAAGCAACAATGTTGTTCTCTAATAAAGTGATTCGGTACTGAATAGTTGACAGAGCCACCATAGGCCTCGTGCCAATTTTCCTGCTCAATTTAGCGGGTAAACTGAATTCGTGTGTATGCCACGTGATATCAAACCATGTGACGTTAATTTTCACGCCAAATTTAGCGGGGAAACAGAATTGTTTTTGAGGTCACGTGACATCCACTCATGTGACGTCATTTTTGCCGCTAAATTTAGAGGGGAAATCGGATTAGTGTTCTTGTCACGTGACGCCAAATTTTCCGCTAAATCTAGTGGGGAAACCAATCTTGTTTATAGCTCAGGTAAGATTAAATCACGTGACGTCATTTTACCCGCTTAATTTAGCGGGGAAAATAGACGACCAAATCCAAAACTCAAAGTGACCTTAATGTCCTAAGAAAGCTAATCGCATTAAGAAGTGATGTGTGACTCATAGGCTATAAACGTCAGGGGTTCAATCTAAGTGGTATCTAAGCAAAGTACAACTTCGGAGCCTCATAGAGAATAAATACGTAAGGTTTTTCACCGTTTTGGAAAAATTGCCTCGTAATAGCCGCGGCATGGATTTTTTTTCCAATTTTTGCTTTTAAGACATTGGCGCGTTATCGAGTAAGTCAACGAAAAAAATGTGGTATTATAAACTCAGTTATCGTTTAAAATAATATAAAAAGAAACAAGAAATGTCTATTAAAAATTGCTAACATATACCTTGTACTTAAACAACCGGCAAGAGTAAGCACAAATTCGGGACGAAAACTGACGCATAAACACAAATTCGTCCCGAATTTGTGTTTATTCTTTCCGGTAGTTTAAGTATACTTACCAGCACCCTCGGTTTTAATTATATACCTTGAGTTTGCGTGATTCTAGGACAGGCTGTTATAGTCACAGGATAGTTATTTAACTAGATAAAGGATGAGTTAATATTACCACGTGCTTCTAATTTTTCTTTTCCAGTATTATAGCTAAGAGGGTCATAATTTTACACGGCCTACTCAGTATTGCAATAAAAGAGTAAACGAAATTTTTTATTAAAGTTCGAGACACGAAACATGAGTGTATCATTAGTTGCGTGCCAGGCTATATTTTTTTTAACTGTCAGCCACGCTTAATATGAAGCACACATGTCTCGGTAACTTAGACGTAAGCCTTCGTCATGACGCTCTCAATGACGCCCTGCTAGGTGCCTTAAGGCCCCTAAGCAGGGTGTCGTTTAAGAGCGTTTGAGTTCGTTTGACTGCGCTGAGGCTGCGAGAAAGCAGGACATCCTTGCTCCTTATGCCGCGTGCCAAGCTATTCATTGCATTTCATTCCACGCTTCATACGAAGCAGAGATATGCCGGTGACTCGCTTTTGTTTCTTGACGCAACGCAGTCAAACACACGCAAACGCTCTCAGACGGAACTGTGGGTAGGGACCTTAATACCCCAGTCAGACGGCGATCTAAAGATTCTTTTCCCTAAGCTCCTTAATAAGGACGGACAATCAGCTCGCGATGATGAGTGCACACGTGCCCTACGGCGCGCGCTGGTTCCCCGATTTTATAAAGGACCGTGTTCTAGAGGCCTTTAAAATGCCCGTCTGACAGGAGTATTAAAGGGGTCATGAAGGCGATTTTTCTACTTCTTCCTCCTTAGCTTTAATCCTCAACTCAAATGTAAACTGTGAAATCACGTCGTCGTGACATTCTTCGGCACCGGTGCGATGAATCCTAGCTTCCACCGTGCTTTTTATGCACACCCTAGAACTTGTCATTCCCCAGTGACGATAAGTTCCGTCAGGGCACTCATTGGCCACGAACCCGAATCTAAATATTCGTCAACGGATTGATTGTTGACGAGCGCATACGTCCGAGTGACGCAGTTCTCGTGTCCAATGCGTGAGCTGGGCTCGGCTGACGTCAGGTTGGCACCGCTGACGCGCTTTGGGAACCGCGGATGTATCATAGTGAAAAGGCGGAGAGCTTTCGAATGAAAGAAGGTACAAAATAGTCCGGTATATTTTCAAATGTTCGTACCAAAAAGCTGGCTTTTGACTTTCTACCCTCTTTCTTTTGGCCAGCTAAACGATATGCAATTAGTAAAGTCCCAATATAAAATCGTTCATCCCAGCCCGAAATTCGTTTCATGGCGCCTTTAAACTGGTTCATACAGCCTCGTTTTTTACCTTACGTCTAGGTCACCGCGACAGCTGTGCTGCATAATAAGAATGGCTACAAGTTTAAGGATATAGCCAGGCACGGGACATTTGAGCAGACTTGTGCCTATCTCAAATACTGTACTAAGATATTGTATTTCAAATACTTTGTGAAGTATCTTGGTACCTTGTAAATACTTTTGATCAAAAGTATTTGATTCTCTATTTTAATTACATTTCTGGGTATCTTGTACTCAATATCTCAAATACATTTTTGACAATCCGCAATTTCTTGAGTTTTCCGGCATGAGATGGCGTGGGCGTGACGCGAGGAAACTTGAGTATTTTTTCGAGCAACCAAATCCTGTTGCTAGCTCCGATAAGCTACGATGACCTAGATTGAGCTCGTGAAACATCGCTTTTGTGGCGATTGGGACTCATATGTCACACCAAAGTTCGTACCAATAAAGGTTTTCCCCCTCGCCTTCCCAAATGCGTCTTTTTTTTTCTCGTAGAGTTTCCCCCCAAAAAATTCTACAAGCAAAAGTGGTGGCTTTACGGAAGTAAAGATTACCCCACTGCGGCACAACGCAGAACGGGAAACGGCCCACGACAACACTGCAGACTTCAAGAAAATAACGAATAGAAGAAATTGAGAAGTGGACACACACGCTACGGCAACACATCGAGATTTCTTTTGTTCCTTTTCTTTTTGTCGTCAGTCCGGCACTTATTGCTCTCGCGAACATTGTCTGAATGAACAGGACAGGAAACTAACTACGAGCAGGATGACCTCTCAAAATGCCAACAAAGCGTCTCCCAACGTTGAGTGTCTTTCTGAACGCAACCTACTTGAAGGAGGTGCGACGAGTGCTGTGACTATAGGGAGTATTTACTGGACGCCATATTTCTGGGTGCTGTTTAGAGCGCACCCTCAGAACGACCTCACATCAATAGGCTGCTAAGACCGGCAGTTTTCATGGGGCAAAATGCACGTTGCAAAAGAGCTGTGGAGCTCGCCGTCAGCACGCGCTGAGCATTCGCGCACACAGCTATGGCCGCCAGTGAATACTCCCTATTATGTGGGCTCCCTTTGTTATACGTTCACTCATTTCCGTATCCCAAGTTAGTTTATTGGGGAGGAGATCAGAAACCGTCGTGCCCCAAGCGGCTAACTTTAGAACTACATGGATGGGGAAAACAAATAAGAATGGCTGAGCGCCCGGCTGAAGTAACCGAACGCCGCGTCAGCGTTCGGCTGGAGTTCGTGCTCTCCGGTCGCACGAGAGTTTAGAGGGGCTCTTTTGTTACCACTCCGGCCTGCAGGAAAAATGCGCAGTGCATATGCCCAGCGCAGCAGAAAAGCGGAAGTAGGTCAAGCTCGCATACTCTGATGACTGCTTTCAGGAGAGACCCGGCACTAACTATAAACGTAACTGTGTTTATCATTGGCATTTTTACGTTAAGATGTGAACATGCCAACAAGGCCTGTGGGCATGTCATCAGGCCTTGTGTTGGGTAAGCACCGAGGTGTGGGGACAACAAACGGGGCAGAGCGCCCCCTATAGTTTGATCTCCTCGACAATAGTGAACTTCCCAAAAATGGGGAATATGGATTGCACAGTAGTTGAACGATGCGTCTAAGGTCCGCCGCAGGACGCGATATTCAGCGATGAAGTATATCCGAAACGTTTAGCGATGGTGGTACCACGGTGTGAGAATCGCGCTTCCTAGCTCCTGGATGATCGACTTCACAA